AGTCGTGTCCTCAGGGGCTTCAGTGTGTTCGTAGCCATCGCTGCCTACGAGACTACCGGCGACCGACATGCTGCTGTCGCTACCCTCGACCGAGCTGCTGTAGCTCTGGTACTCGTCGTAACTGCCCTCAACCTCCGATCCAGCGCTGCTGTAGTTGCCCTCATACGGGTCAGGCGTGGCGTATTCACTGCCTGCCTTGCTCTCCTCTCCGTCCACTGAAGAGTAGCCTTCGCTTCCAGTCTTTTGGCAGTCTCCAGACGCATCCTCCGAGTTGCCGTAGCTGCTGCCACGAAGGTACTTTGACGGGTACTTGTCCTTGCTGTCATCATCGACCTCGCTGTGGACCTCGTAGTCGTTGGAAGACGTGCCCGACAAGCACGGGGCGTCGACAGAACCGCTGGCGCCGGTGTCCTCGTAGTTTGGCTTGTCGTAGCTCGGCTTCTCCGTGTGCTCGTAGGTTGGCTTGTCGGTGTGCTCATAGGTTGGCTTGTCCGTGTGCTCGTAGCTCGGCTTCTCCGTGTGCTCGTAGGTTGGTTTCTCTGTGTGCTCATAGGTTGGCTTGTCGGTATGCTCGTAGCTCGGCTTCTCCGTGTGCTCGTAGGCTGGCTTGTCGGTGTACCCGTAACTCGGCTTCTCACCATTGGGGTTGCTATCGTGGTGGCCATCCTTCGATGTAGGGCAGGGGGTGTTGACCGTATCGTAAGAGTCGCCATGATGGTACTCGCCCGTAGGGTAGTCTCCCTTAGGGTAATCCTCCTTGGTAGGGGTAGTCTCCCTTTGGGTAATCTTCCGTGGTGGGGTAGTCTCCCTTGGGGTAATCATTCTTCGTAGGGTAGTCTCCCTTAGGGTAATCTGCCTTGGTGGGGTAGTCTCCCTTGGGGTAATCTTCCTTGGTGGGGTAGTCTCCCTTAGGGTAATCCTCCGTGGTGGGGTAGTCTCCCTTGGGGTAATCTTCCTTGCTAGGGTACTCCCCTCCGTGGTGGTAGTCCCCGTTGTATCCTGTGTTGTAACTGGGAGGGTGAGTCGGGTAGCCACCCTCTCCAGAGTTGTAGTTGTAAACCAGAGTCGGGCAGGGCGTTGCCGCCGTCGCATAGTCACCCTCCTCGATGTTGTAGCTGTAAGGAAGAGGAGGACATGGCTCCTTCGTTGGATAACCACTCTCTCCAGCCTTGTAGCTTGGAGGCAGAGTCACGTACGGGGTGGCTTCCGTCGGGTATGATGGGGTCTCAGTTGGATAGCCACCCTCTTCGTTGTGCGTTGGGCATGGGGTAGCCTCCGTGGGATAAGCTCCCTCTCCAGCGTTGTAGCTCGGAGTTTGGGTCGAGTACGGGGTGGCCTCGGTTGGGTAACCCTCTTCGTTATCGTCGGGGTAAGAAAGAGTAGGGCTGGGCGTGTCGTACGCGTGTTCATTGCCCTTAGTAGCGCACGGGGTGGACGCAGGGTAGTTGCTTTCGTACGGGAAAGTGACCTCGTCCTCCTTCGGGTACGTCTCCTCAACCGGGTAGGTCACTTCAACATCGCCATAGCCAGACCCAGAAGGAGCAGACTGGTAGGGCGTCTCAACCTCACCGGAAGCACTCTGCTCTGCGCTCGCACAAGGCGCATCGGTGTCAACCGAGCCTTCATCTTCCGGATAGGCACAGCCCCACGTAGTGCCGGAAACAATGACGCACTGTGCATCCTTGGGAGCAACACACTGGCCGTACGTGTATGACGGGAGTCCTTCACTGCAGTTGTCGCTGGCAACGTCACCCTTGAGAGGGCAAGCCGTTCCACTTGAGTAGGCACCTTCACCCTTGCAGACAGCTCCGCGGGACGACGGGATCGTGTAGGTGGCATCGCCGAGGACCGACACGGTGGCAGTATCGGCGGCAGCGAGACCGAGGGAAAGCACGGTCGCGATGACCGCACTGAAAGGCTTGAGAACACGAACCATTGTGTCTTGAACGGAGAGATGAGAAGACTGCTGGTACTCAAGTAATTGAGTTGATGTGGCAAATTGGAGAATGAGGATTTGATTGGGATGTTAAATACGTTCGTGGAAGCATGGCAAGAGCTCCGTCTAAGTTTTTTATAGTAGAAGGACATGAAGCGTGGAGCCTTCGACTATGGAAACCAGGAATCACCAAAGGGTCATTGGCCCCCCGCCTGTCCTCAAGTCGCGACGTGACGATTGGATTAACTCGTTGCAAATGCTCCACCGCAAACTATTACTGCAAGGTTCACATTTCAGAGCGTTCGTGGATAAGTTATCCGATAGCACAGCATACGTTCCATCTACAGTGTCTCGTTGTGAGCTTACACCTACGAATTGTCAGTCACTCTTTGGAGCTCCTAGCACGAATAGCCCCACCATGCCATTGCCACCAATAGATGTATTCAGGGGTGAACGTAGGAGCGTTGATAACTGTTAGAGCGAAACCAACACACGCGTAAATGTACAGTCCCCGCAGCCCATACAAGACAAAATAATTCGTCACCCGCAGCCAATGTCGCTTGTGCTGTTCGTGTTGCTGGACCCACGACAATCGACGACATCAAGCACTAGCGGCGTCCTCTCAGTGGTTTGATCTCATTCTAGATGTCTCCGAGAGCTCTGTCGTAGCACACAAATATAACGTTGAGGCCGGATAATGTCCGGCAACAAAGACTTTAAGAGCCAGGGGGTTCGTTGTGTGGTGTACACCACATTGTTTTTGCATTGCGTTGGTGATGGAGGAGACACTTCGTCTGCAGTTCGGCACAGCCTCCACGACGATCGGCACGCAGTGGTTAGCGTTGCAACAAGCCAATGGAGTTGCCAAGACTCCACACCTGCTGGCCTTCGAGGCTAAAGGGCGCGTCAGGAGACAGACCCGAGCTGCACCCAAGCAACAGGAAGACACGACGACATGGTACGAACCGTTGCTACATGGTCGGCAAATGGGTACATGCATTTTCTGCAAAACTGTAAACTAAAACTGCGTTGTGGAACATTTTTATTCTGTTCTATGTAGGGGTGGAAATGTGCATGTATACGACCAATCGGGGGCGGAACCAGTGAATGAATCAAGCAACAACGGATTGTGGAGCTGGGGCAGCCTCAGTGAGCACAACCTCGTGGAGGTGGATGAATTCCGTCCACACATGCCGTTGCACAATTTCTATGAAGGTCACGCCGTTTCTAATGGAGGAAACATTGGCAACACGACGATGGAACATGCAGAAGATCGAGTGCGAACTGTACTGGAGGCGTGTGATCAGTTGCGACTGGTGCAAGGTCTTGTGGATATGGACTCGTCGTGGGGAGGCCTGGCGCATGAGATGATGACGTACGTTGCTGAGGAGTGCCCTGGTGCAGTGATCATGGCAGTCGGCAACGACTGGAGTTATCCGATGGCTGCGGATGACGAAGACGCGATGTTTCGGGCTGAGCAGAACGCCCGAGATCGCACGAAAACTGAGGCGAGGAAGCGAATCAACGTGGCGTCGTCCGTGGCACTGTTGTCTGAAGTGTCCCATTTGCTTGTGCCCGTCGCGATGTCTTCGAACTCACTGCCAAGCGCAAGGTTTTCACAACTCGGACTGAACCGGTCGAGCTGCGGAGAAGTTGCCACTCTTGTTGCCACTGCACTGGAACTCGCATTGTCAGCACATCGAGGACAACCAGCATACGAACTGTTAGAGGGATTCCAAATCAGCAGGAAGGTCGTCGAACTCGCTGCGTCGTTCCCATACATTTCGGATCCGACGTTGGTGTTGCGTTGCATTAGCGAAAGTGTCACCCGTGAAGTTGGCCGCAACAGCTCGACGCAAGATCCATTCCAGAACTTTTCGCTGCTTCCTGCAATTCAGCAAGCAGTCAGAGACGAAGCTGGCAGCAACAAGACGTTCTATCGACGTTTGCACCTCCGTGGATCGTTCAGTAGCAACTCGTCGCTGCGGTCTGCCATCGACACTTTTCCCGTGTCGCCACGCGATGTTGCGTTGCGCTGGTCTGATGCGTCTCCTCTTGAATTGCCAGACACTTACCGCCTTCAGACACTACAGAGCTCGTCCGTCGATGGCATTTCTCAGTTGGCGTTGTCAAGTCGGACTGGCAAATACTTGTCAACCTTGGCGCAACGTGTTGCAAAAAACGACAAGCGCACGTTGTACGAGTTCGCGAGTGCCGGGATGAGCCCCGACGCGCCGGAAGAACTGGTGTCCACGTTGGCCGCCATGGGCGACGCTTACTTCACCCAGTAGAATGAAATTCTTTTCTTTGCAAGTTGAAGTGGTTCTCAGCCAATCGAAAAAGCTCAGCACCAACGGCAAATCGTACTTAGTGAGATATGACCTTATCAGAAGCAACAAAAACCTATCCAGCAGCCACAACAAAGTGAAAAACCGCCGCAAGAGCCAAGTACAGCGAAAGGGGCCACTCATTGCCAAGAGGCCCACGTTGCCTACCAAAGAAACGGATCGAATGTTCGGTGCCCGACGTACAGACTCGAGGCGGAGCGAAGGCGCTGTGCCCTTCAATAGCCGCCGCAGCGTCGAGGAGGATTCGTGGACAGAGGTGGAGCGACAAGAACTTGACCATGCCGTAAGAAAAAAATATCAAACTTTTTCAGTTGGCAAAAAAACATGTCGCACTAAAAGTTGTTGCCACTTTTGCAGACTTCCTTTGTGTCGGACAGTATGTACCTAGTGATGGAGAGTCCGGCTGGCGCTCTTTACATGGGCGAAACGGTGCATTTCAAGGTGCACGCACTGTGTGACCAGTCGACGCTGGGGAGAGCAGCGGCAGGAATTGGTGGCAAGAAAAAAGTTGCAAAAGATGAAAACGACGACATGATGCACGGAACGCTATTCCTCACCAGTTACCGACTGCTTTTTCGCTCTTTTCATGTGAGTTTTGTTTCTTACAGACAATCACTCTTCATGATTTTTTACTTACCAACTTTTTTTTTATCAGCATCACGAAGAGGAATTGGTGGAAGTTCACTTGCATAACATTGCCGAGCTGGCAGAGTTTCGCGTGAATGGGAAACTGGGTCCCATGAGCCAACTGGAAGTTGCGTGCAAAAACTTCGAGTTGCTAAAGTTTAATTTCCCTGGAGACGCAGCATCGGGCGACGCCTACGTGAAAATCAGCCAGATACTGATGGGCAAACTCGCGCCGGCCGCGTATGTGTTCGCTCGTCAGCCAGACACTTCTGGGTGGGCAGCATACGACCCTCAGGCCGAGTTCACTCGCTTGGGCTTCAAGACGCCAAAAAGTAGCGCACAGATCGGCGGATTCCGCGTCACACACGTGAACAATAACTACAAAATGTCTCCGACCTATCCCAGCGCGTTTGTGGTGCCGGCATCGGTGTCTGATGGCGAGTTGCGCAAGATCAGCTTCTTCCGAGCTCGTGGGCGTGTGCCAGCCGTGACATATCGCCACAAGAACGATGCGGTAGTGGCGAGGTGTGCACAGCCACTTGTTGGACTGCGAAGGAAACGATGCACCTCGGACGAAGCGTACATGGCTGCTCTTCGACGAGAGTGCAAAGGAAAATTGCTTTTCATCGACTGTCGAAGCCAAACCAGCGCGTATGGCAACATTGCCTTGGGTGGAGGCTTTGAAGTGTACGTGTGTGCTGCAATTGAAGTCTTGTGTGTATTTTTTTTAATTTTTGTGTTGTGTTGCAGGTTGGACTATTACAAGGAAACCAACATCATGTTTATGGGTATTGAGAATATCCATTCCATGCGAGATTCGATCCGCAAACTCTTCGATCTCATCAAGAACGAAATCCGCGGCAACGAACGACCAAACTGGTTATCGTGTCTTGAGGTGGATAGTTTATATATATATTATTTTTTATAATGATCGTTGGACATAAGCTAACAGTTTATTTAATGTACTTACACAGAGCACTCGGTGGTTAGAACACGTGCGCTCGATCCTCGTGTCGTGCTCCGTCTGTGTGACGAAGCTCGTTGAAGGCACGAGCTTAGTGATCCATTGCTCGGATGGTTGGGACCGTACCGCTCAGATCACGGCTCTAGTGAAACTATGTGCAGATCCATTCTACCGAACGATAAAAGGATTCCAGGTGAGTGCACGTTTGTCTCTTTTTCCAGAACAATTTAGGTAAAACTCAGAGGCTTTTTTTTATAGGTCTTGATTGAGCAAGAGTGGTGCGCCTTTGGACATCAATTCCGTGCACGCTCGGGGCACACGGACACGCAAGCGGGTTACTGGGAAGATGACAGCACGTCGCCTGTATTTATGCAATTCGTGGACGCCGTGTGGCAACTCATGCGCCAGTTCCCTTGCTCGTTCGAGTTCAGCGAGCGCTACCTCATCGCTCTGCTTGATGAAGTGTACAGTAAGCGAAGTGGGACCTTCCTCCACGATTGCGAAGAGGCTCGAATGGCGAGTATTTGTGAAATATTCTAGTATGAATATCAGCTAACCCCTGTTGCTCGTATTAGGGGTCCAAGACGGTTATCCGATGCACGAGCGCGTGGACGTTGCTGGAAGCTCATCCTAACGCTGTAGATTTCCGGAATCCGTTCTTCCTGGTGCCTCTAAGTGGCGGAGGATCGAAGAGCAAATCTCCAACAGTGCTGCAATGCAAGTGGCATACGAGCTCGTTGGCCATCTGGTCGTCGTTTTATCTGCGCTCGCTGGAATCCAATGACTCACGGGTATACAAGGTCCCTTGCCTAGCTCTTGTGATGCTGGGAAAACATCGATGGTAGTCTGGCTCAAGGCAACTCACACTTCTTCTTGGTATTTGCTGCCTGATAGGACGCATGGGCCAAGGAACTACAAGTCACGCAGCGTGAACTTCAAGACCAGCTGAGTGCCGCACACCAACAGCTGCAGTCCCAAGTGGAGCAGAACTCGGATCTGCAGAGTGAGCTGGAGCAGCTTCGACGAGAACGCGCACAGCTGGCCCGGTTACTGGAAGGTGAGGTGTACAGCGACACGTTGAACGGCTTGCTGGTGCACGAGGAGGACGAGGAGGAAGACGGCGTGTTGCTCAGTGTGACGCCTGTGGGTGAGAGTCGTACAACGTTGGAAACTTCGTGCAGTGACAGTTGCTCGATCTCCCCCGACGTGAAGGTGTACTCGACCACAGGCGTGGGTTGCTTCCTCGGTGGCTCGATGAGTCAGGACTTTGAGATCTTGCAGTCATACTTCGACCCCAAGCGACACGAAGCTCGATCGATTGACCCAACAGCGACCAGCAATGGGTGCAACGATCTGTTTACGAGGAGAATCACGGTGGAGGAAGTGGTGCGATGAAAAAAACTTTAGTACTTGTATATCAATAAAGTGGATTTTTTGTACTTGCAAAAAAACTTTTTTATTTTGGCAAAAAAAGTTGCAACAGGGAGGATTTTTTTAGGTGCTCAAATCGTTCTCAACGTTTATAACGTTAATACCTTTGTTATCTCCGAACCATCACTAACTGCAAGTCAAGCGAGTCTAGGCGTATGAGCCTTCAATAATGACATCATCGATCTTGAGGATCATTCGCACGACCTGCGTTGCGAGTTGCAACTGTTGCTGCTTGCCGATAAGCGTCTCGAACACTTGTTGCTCCTTCATGTCGTTGGTACCAGACGAGTTGCAGTCGATTCCCAGTCGCGGGTTCTTCTCCGCGATCTGTTGCGCACGCACAGCCGAGAGCGAGTCGATGGGGCTCAGTCCGCTGTTCTCCGCCAGAGCCATAGGAACGTCCTCCAAGGCGTCAGCAAAGCTGCGAATCGCGTACTGCTCAATGCCCTCCGTGTTGTCCGCATGCTCACGCACAGCAATGCCACACGCAATCTCAGCAGCACCGCCGCCGTACACGATGCGGTTGTTCTTGATCAGGTTGCGCGTCACACACATGGCGTCATGCAGCGAGCGCTTGGCTTCCTCCACGATCATCTTGTTGCCACCACGCACCAGCACAGTGATCGCGTCCGAGCTGGCACAGTCCTCAATCACCAGCATACGCTCCTTGGTCGTTCCGAACGCCACCTCACGCACCGTCCCAGCGCGACCCAGTTTCTCAGCCGTAAGCTCCGAGAATCGAGGCACAATGCGTCCACCCGTGGCGATAGCAATGAGCTCGAGCTCAACGCCGCCGACCCAACGCACAGCTGGCAACTGGCTCTGTAGCAACAAGTGGTTGGCTTCGTCGTCGAATCCCCATTGGCAGATAACCAGATTGGCGCCGCTGTCCTTCACCTGCTTGATCATAGTGGTAAAGTACTCCTGCTCCTGCTTGTAGAGCTTCTCGTAGGCTTCCACACTCGTGATGTCCAGTTTGTGCTTGGTCTTGGGCTTTGGGGGCTCGAACGGACACGTCAAGATGCACATCTTGGCGTCTTTGACCTCCTTAGGCATCTGCGGGTGGGAAAAGTCCTTGTCGATGACAATTCCGTTGATCAGCGCCGTCTCGCCCAAAGTGCCGCCGGGTTTGCCCTCCACTTTGATCAGGTCAAAGTTGACATCGCGCGTCTCAAAGTTGGCCACTTTCATGACCGCGTCCACTGCGATCTGCGCCATTTGACGTTTGTATTTGTTCACGATCTTAGAGGACAAGGTCGTCATGGCTGTCTCCACGAGTGGCGTCGAGTCTTCCTTGGAGAAATGGATCACGTCGCCAATGGCTTCAAGATGCTTACACGCGATCTCACAGGCCTCTTCGAAGCCGTCGGCGATGCGCATGGGGTGCAATCCGTGCGCTAGAAGCTTCTCGGCCTGCTCTAACAGTGCGCCGGCTAGCACGACGACGCCTGTGGTGCCGTCGCCGATCTCGTCGTCTTGCGACTTGCTCAGCTCCACGAGTAAATGAGCCACACGGTGCTCGACCTGCATCTGCTCTAAGATAGTGGCGCCGTCGTTGGAGATGGTGACGTCGCCGTCCTGACTGACCATCATTTTGTCCATGCCACGAGGGCCTAGCGACGTGCGTAGCAGACTCGACACGGTACGCGCGGCCAAGATGTTGCTCTTGATGGCCTCCACGCCCTTGATGCGCTCCTTCTGCTCCTGGTCGCGAAGGATGATGAAGGGGCGACCGTACTCGTCAAAGACCATCGACATGGTGGCAGGAAGGGGGCTGTAGACACAGAGAAACTCGAGGAAGCGATTCCCCCGACACGAGATGCTGTGGTGGCGAGCCAAATCTTTGGTGAGGCGACTCAGTGAAGTATGGGTGTCTTATTGGTCAAAAAGGAGCTGTTTTTTTACGAGCACTTCTTACGGATTGTTGCTTGAAATTTGACGTTGTCGTCTGGATGTCGTCCGAAGCTCCACATAAAATACTAAATTTACTACTCTCTAGCAGCTTATAATTTTTAAGCACAAATCCACCCGAGCCAAAAATATAAAAACGTGCAGGAAACCTATCTCATTCGATCTATTAAAAGCATCAATTTAAGCATACTTAATCTCAAATGAAACAGCCCCTACAGTATGATTTAAATTGGCATGCTGAAGTGTAATTTCACGGCTCTTACTTTTCACGATCTCATTCTGATTCAGAGCGCGTGGAACATGAAGATACAGGCATTAAAAAAAAAACAATGCTCACTGCCACACGTCAGTTTAAATGGAGCACGACTTTTAAGCTCTGTTCCACTTGAAACTCTTACATGTACAAGTTTGCACAAGAAAAGGTCGGCCCGACGCGGGCACTTGGATTGTGCAAGATCATTTTCGGTGCTTTTACTGTTCGTATTTTTTCTGATTATGGCAAGAATCATGGTGGTACACAATTCTTTTTTTAGCCAATAAGTGTTGCCCAGCACATCCCACTTCGCCATCACGTACAACAACGATGGCATCCGCAATTCGGCTCGGCAGCAGCAGCATGGAAGGCGGAGAGGATAGCAAACCGAAGGAGTGCGAGCTGCTGAGTGGCGACTTCGCCGTGCTGTTGCAGGTGCTGCTTGGTTTTATTGCCATCTCTGTACTGGCGATCAAGCGGCTGCGCGAAGTACCTCAACGCCCACTGACGGTAACCTTTGTAACGGCTGAAGTGGCAAACTGTGTCTAATGTTTTTTCTTGTAATTTGTTAAAACTTTTAGATATGGGCTTTCGATGCTTCGAAACAAATGGTCGGAGCGACGTTTGCGCATGTTGCAAACCTGTTTATTGCCATTGTGCTCTTCAATTATCAAAAAGAGATGGAGTCCGGCGAAGAATCAGTTGACCAGGTGATTTGCGTCGAGGCAAAATCTTTTGTACTTGTTCGACGTAATAACATTTTTTAACTCTTTTTGTTTTTGTTGCAGTGCGCGCTGTATTTTGTGAATTTTACTTTGGACACAACTTTGGGTGTTTTCCTCAACTACGTGTTGCTGTCAGCAGTGGTGCTTTTGGCACTTCGTTTCAGCTGGTCTTCATTGAAAACTCCCGGCGACTATGGCACTCCGGTTCGTGTGCGAACATGGATATTGCAAGTGCTTTCGTGGATCCTTGTCATTTTCACATGCAAATTTCTCATTGCGCTGCTCATTGTGGCGTTCCAAAAGCCGTTGGGAGCTTTTGCGGTGCTGCTTTTCAAACCGTTGGCGGACCATCCAGACGTGGAATTGGCCATCGTCATGATCGCGTGTCCATGTCTAATGAACGCGTTACAGTTCTGGGTCCAGGACAATTTCCTCAAAAAGGATGTTCGCGACGAAAGTTTCATTGTGGCACAAGCGGCGCAATCCCCTACTGGCAGCTTGAATGGCGATGGCAAATTGCCCAGTTTAGGCACACCGACAGACGACGAATGCAGTGAACCTGGCGAAGGAGATCCCAAACTCATTGTTGCTCTTGGCAACTCACAAGAACCAGGCGAAAAGAAACTCAAACTCGACCTCTCATCCGTGTAAAACCGTTCCCATAAAACTTTTATGTAGTTAGACCCAAATTTGCATGCAAAAGTACCTTTTTTCCTTTAATAAAAGATGCAAAAAATGTGACGTTCTACGAATTGCTTTATTGTGGAGCCCTCCACTCCCTCTATCAGCCTACACTGTTCTACCATCCTTACTTACGTCGCATCAGCATGAGTGCCATGGCACCTAGACCCACCACCAGCGTCGCAGCGCCACCGGCAATCAGACCCGCTTGATTATTGAGCGAGAAGCCGTGGTCACGCACACGTTTGCGTCGTGATTTCTTGCTCTTCCTTCGCACGATTTCCTCGTCGCTGCTCTCGTCACTGCTGCTGTCAGACGAAGACATCTCGTCCACCTTGGTGAGCAGCCGATTGCGCGGCTTAGGGCCGGCAGCGTTCGAGCCACTGGGGGCGGCACTCGGCGTCGCACTCGCAGCACCACTCGCAGCTGAACTGGCCATGGACACGACACTGCCGTTGCCGTCGTGTTGCGGACGCTTGACCACGTCAACTACAAGCACCAGACGCTTCCACCCAGCGCGTTGGGCCATGTGAACAGCCTCCACGAGACTCTCATCGGACGTCAGTAGCGCCAGATCGCCTTCATCATCTTCATACTTGAGCCGCAAGGCCTCGTTGTCGTCCATCCCCATCTTGAAGCGGATCTGCTCCAGCAACGGACCCATCGAGTTAAAGCGACACATGATGCGGTGGAAATGTCCCTGTGCGCCGTCGCTCACCTTGAAGACGAACGTGTTGTCGTCCATGTTCTTCTGCATCAGCACACTCGTCGTGGTTGTATTCGCCCCACTCACCACCGACACACTCTCGCCCAGTTCAGCATACGCACCGAGCGAGTTCGAGTATCTTCCGGCGCCATTAAGACCCACAGCACTCGCCGTCGGGGTGGACACGCTACCGCCAGCATTGTACTCGTCCCGCTCGAACTCCTCGATGGTCCCGACAGACCTCGCATCGTCGTTCATGCCGCCATACGCGCCGCCCGCCACTTCCTCTTGGAGGTTCATTGCCGTCTGCCAGAACTGCCTCCAGTCGCCGTTTGACGTGCCACCGGACGTCGTCTGGAACTGGCCGTAGCTCAGACAAATGACGTCAGCCATGCCGAGGATCTCGCCGTCGTCTGCCAGTACAGGCATGAACAGTTGACCCGCGTCATGCAGCGATCGTAAGCCATCCACGATGCTCATATCCGGTCCCATGAGGTCTGGGTCCACCGTCATCACTTCCTCGACTGTAGTCGTCTCGGCGTACAAGCCCTTGGCCACCAGCTTCCGCAGCAGATCCTTGGTCGTCACCATTCCGCACAGCTCTTGCTCATCGCCCAGAACGATCGCCGCCTTCTTCGTGTTCGCCATCAGCTTGGCCGCACGCGCAGCCGTCGTGTGGATGTTCACCACCGGAGGCATAATCTCGCCGTCCAGAGCGTCTCCGACGGTAGGACGCACCATCTTCTCCATCATAGGACCGAGCAGACGCTGGAGGTTCGACCCCGTACCGAGATCGCGCGAAAACTCGGAAGCTGCCGCCTCGGTGGACTGCTGCACCTTCTCCAGACACGTGATGGCGTCGTACAGACACTTGGAGATGTCCAACATCCCTTGCGGCGTGCCATCCGAGCCCAGCACCGGCAAGTGCTTGAAGCGGCCTTCAAGCATCTTGGTGATCGCCTCGATGGCCTGGTCCTCCATGTACACACACATGGGCTTGGTCGTCATCACTGACGCCACGGAACAACTCTCGGGGTCGATATCTTCAGCCAGCACACGTCGCGTGATGTCCGTGTCCGTCAAGATGCCGCGCAGTTCTCCTTCCTCCGTCGTCACCACAACCGCTTCAACGCGAGCTTGACGCATGCGCTTAGCTGCCTCTGCCACGGTAATAAACTCGTTGATACGCGTAACTTCCTGCGGTCGTAACATGGATACAGGACGCATAGCGCCTTCTGGCTCCGGAATGTGGTCCATCATGGACGAGTGGTGGCTCTCCGTGTATTTACCCGGTCGACGACGAGACACTCGCGAGCCCGTGACACTGGCCAGCTCACTGAAGTCGTCTTCGTCGTGGCCAAGCGCCAGAGAGACGTCCCAGAACGCACGCCAGTCCGAGTCTTCGTCCACAGGCTTGCCACTTTCAGCCGCCGCGCCACTGGCAAAAGTTCCATAGCACAGCGACAGCACGTCTAGCATTCCCACGATCGTAGCCGTCTCATTGTTAACCACCGGCAAGTGTAGGAAGTTGTGCTCGTACATGATGTGCAGCGCGTCCACAAGCCTCGTATTCGGTGGCGCCGTCTCGGGATCAGGCGTCATGACCTGGCCCACAGTCGTCTCCGCGGCATCCAGACCAGCGCCAGTCACGCGTAGCAGCAGATCCTTGGGCGTAAAGACACCCAACACCTTCCTGGTAAGCGCCGACGTGCCTATATCGTAGCCTCCTCCACTGATCGACGAGCGGTGTCCGCCACTCACAGACGAGCTGTTGTCTGCGTTCGGGTCCTCCACAATCAGCGCCGCCTTCCTAGACGCCGCCATCTGACGCGCCACTTCCATCACCGTGTCGTGTTCACTCACAAGCGGAGGCAGCGTCTCGTCTTCCAAGATCTGGTCCACTGTGGGCGACAGAAGTTTCTCCACCATCGGCGCCACGAGCTGCTTCAACGCACCTTGTCCCGTTCCGATACCGGTGGCCTGCAACTGCTTCTCCAGACGCTGTCGAAGTGAGCCACTAGACGACTGCTGCACCTTCTCAATGCGCGTGATCGCGTCGTACAGACACTTCTGGATCCGCAGCATTCCCGCCACCATTCCTGTTTCATCCACGACGGGGAGGTGGCGGAACTTGCCTTCCAGCATCATAAACATCGCGTCCATAGCGCTATCGCGTTCGTCAACAAACTTGGGATCGGGGGTCATAGCATCACACACGCTCACGTAGAACGGGTCGTTGCCCAGCGCCACCACACGTCGCGTCACGTCTGTGTCCGTCAGAATACCAAGCAGGCCTCCATCGCGTCCAATAACCAACGCAGCATCAGTCTGCGCGTTGCTCATCTCCTTGGCAGCGTCGGCAACTGAGAACGTCTCGGAGATCGTGATGGCCTTCGACGGTCGCAACTTGGACACGGGACGCACATTTCCAGTGGCCAACGCGGCCTGGCGTCCCTTTTGACTCAATCCGCTGCTGCTTGGCGCGAGGTTGTGCGAGAATCCACTTCGGAAACTGTGCTGCGAGGACACATCGTCGTCATCTGTGGCCTCGAAGGACGCGTTCCAGAAAGACTTCCGCTCGCTCGGCTTGCCCTTCGCGAAGGACCCGTAGCTCAACGACAAGACGTCGATCAGACCGATGGGCTGCTTGCTCGTCTCGGTCTGCATCACAGCCAAGTACAGCGTCTTGTGGTCGTGCATCGTGTGCATCGCATCAATCACCGACGTCGCGCCGTTGATCGTCACGTCCTTCTCCAACATCACCTCACACACGGGCGTGGTGTGGACAGGTAGACCACGTGCCAGCACCTTCTCCAGCATCTCTTTTGGCGTAAAGATACCACAGAACTGGCCGCGGTTGTTCACCACCAACGCGCCTTTCTTCGTGACGGCCATTTGCTTGGACACTTCAAACACAGACGTGAATCGCTGCACACGCGGAGGCTCCACGCCTTCCTCCTCGATCACCGTCTTGATATCCGGAGAGAACATCTTGTTGACCATGGAGCCGAGCAGTTGCGAGACGCCGCCCGCACGAGCGCCACCATTCACTCGGCTCTTCATCTCCTTCTCCAGTGTGTGACGCAGAGCAGCCGACGATTGCTCCGACTTCTCCATCTTCCGAATGGCATCGTACAAGCACTTGGCAATGTTTAGAATGCCCACAACAGGGCCATTGCGTTCGACAACTGGCAGGTGGCGGAACTTGCCTTCCAGCATGGAAATAAGCGCGTCGATAGCGGGGTCGTCCATGGACACAAACACCGGGTTGCGCGTCATCACGTCTCCCACCAGCGTCGAGTCCACTGGCCGGTTCTCCGACACCACACGACGCGTCAGATCCGTGTCTGTGATGATGCCGTTGAGCATTCCTTCCTCCGACACCACCAGCACGCAGTCCATCTTGTTGCGTCCCATAGTCCTCGAGAGCTCCGCCACCGTCGTGGTCTCCACTACCGTCAACACCTTCGTCGGCCGTAGCTTCGCCACTGTACGACTCTTCTCCTCACGTTCCGCTCGCGACAGCAGCGTGGTCCGCTCGCGGTCCCCAGCCTCCGAGGGCAACGACGGCTGATCCAGCTGCAACGTCGTGTTCCAGAACTCCTGCATCTGCTCACGGTTCTCGCCGTAGATGGCGTCAATGGTGCCGTAGCTGAGATCCAGCACGTCAACCATCCCCACCAGTTCGTTCGAGTCGTCCTTCAGCACGGGCAGGTTGAGGATACGCGAGTCGTGCATGATGTGCAGACCATCCAGCACAGACGTCGACGGCGTGGCAATCTCCGGGTCATTGAGCATCACTTCTTCCACGTAGGTAGCGGAGGCCTTGAGCCCCTTGGCAATCACATTGAGCACCAGTTCGTTCGGCGAGAAGACGCCCACCAGCTTGTCAAAGTTGATATCGTCCACAATGAGCGCCGCCTTCTTGGTGGACGCCATGGCCTTGGCCACATCACTGACCAGAGACGACTTCGGAAGACGCGGGGCTGGCGTCGAGCCGTTCTGCGCCTCGCTCTCAATAATTGACCCTAACGTAGGCGTCGATAGCTTCTCCAACATCGGAGCGAGCAGCTGTTGGAGCGTCGAGGACTTGCCGCTCTTCTCCAGTGACGCCTTGAGTTGATCCGTGGACTGCGTGGCGTGTTCGAGGCGCTTGGACACGTCGTAGATGCACTTGCCAATGTTCAAGACACCGGCGATACTACCACCGTCGACCACCGGAAGATGGCGGAAGTGGCCCTCCTGCATCGACAGCAACGCGTCGATCGCGCTATCATTCGGGGACACGTACTTGATGTCTCTGGTCATCACGTTGCACACAGGCACTTCCTCGGGGTTCAAGTTGAGCGCCAGTACTCGCCGACAGATGTCAGTGTCTGTTAGAATGCCGTTCAGTCCGCCCGCTTCATCCACCACCAGCAACGCGTCCGTGCGCTTCTGCTTCATCAGCAACGAGGCTTCAAACACCGACGCGACCTCATCGATCGTGATCGCCGGGAGAGGACGCAAGCTCGACACGGGGCGAACATTGACGCCTTTGTCGCGGTCTTTCTGCTGACGAGCCTTGCTAGCAACCGACAAGTTGGACGTCGATCGGCCCGACACGATCGAGTTGGTCTCGTCGTCATGGTAGTCGAACGCAGCGTTGAAGAGCTTGCCAATATCTCTCGACTCTCCGAACGAAGCCAAGCTGATGGACAGGACGTCTGCTACGCCCAAAATCTCGCCGGAATCCGGAGCTACCACGGGCAAATTCAGGAACTTGCCGTCGTGCATGATGTGGAACGCATCGAGCACTGACGTCTCGGGCGCTGCAGACTCCGGATTGGGCGTCATGACATCACTGACCGGCGTCGTGTGGACGTCCAGGTCTTCCGCTACCACACGCAGCAGCACGTCCTTTGGCGTGAAAATTCCAATTAGGTCCGGCGCTTCGGGGTTGGAAGAAACCACAAGAGCAGGACGCCGGCTCTCCGCCATGTACGTCGTGGCCTCGTACACCGTCATGTTGCCGTACACGAGCGGCGACATCACTTCGCCTGGCTTGGACAGCACGTCCAGCAGTGAAGGAGACAGCATCTTCTCCAGCATCCCACGCAGCATCGCGTTGTTGCTACTAGCGCCAAGTTCTTGCTGCAGAGACGTTGACATGTTCTCCACGCGTCGAATAGCGTCGTGCAGACACTTGGCCACGTTCAGAACACCCACAATGTTGCCGCTGTGCGCACTCACCACCGGCAAGTGGCGGAACTTGCCGCTCAGCATAATATCCATCGCGTCTACAGCACTGTCCTCCAAGCTCACACAGCTGGGGTTCGGCGTCATCACTGATCCAATCGTGACTCGAGCAGGGTCCATCCCCTTCGAGATCACACGTCGCGCAGCGTCCGTGTCGGAGAAAATACCCGTCAAGGCGCCTTCCCAGTTGGTCACCAGCACAGCCGCCGAGCGGTGGGACTTCATCAGACGAGCAGCTTCCAGTACCGTCGCCTCCTGGTTCACTGTGATCGCCTTGGCTGGTCGCAGACGAGCAACCGTACGCGACGGATCCGTATTGGTCGATTTCTTGGACTTAGACGACGTCGACATCATGGACGAGTGCGAGCGAGCGAACGAGTGGCCAGAAGTGGCCGAGCTGTTGGAACCAGACCGCGCACGACGTTCGAACGTCGGCTGCTTGATAGCAGGCGAGATCGGCGTCATCGTGTTCGACTCCCCGCGTCGGACACTGGGGGAAGGACCATTGTAGATCGCTGGAGGACGCCGAGGCATCTGGGGAGCTGTCGGGATCTCCTGAGGCGCAGCGTACTCGTTAACCGGCGCAGGAGAAGGATGTTCCTCAAACGACTGAGCTGGAGGAGGCACTGCGACTGGAGAAATCTGTGGAATCGGAGCTGGAGCTGGAGTTGGAGCTGCTGGGGCTTCTGGAACAGGGCGTTTCTCACCAGGCAACGCAGCAGGCGACGAGTTTGGTGCAGCCGCAGTATCCTCGCGCGTGGGGAGGATACCGCTGCGATCCACGTTCGATGGAGGAGCAGGCGTCGTCGGCTGAGGCTCCGGTTCCTCTGGTGGAGGCGTCTCCTTCTTTGGTGAAGGAGGCGGCGTCGGCTCTGTCGGTGGCTCGGGCTTTGGCGAAGGAGGAGGCGTCGGAGTCTTCACAGCAGCAGGGAACTTGGCGCGCTTCTTCTTCAACACGTCGATGTCCTTCTGCAGCTGCGCACACTTGTCGAACTGTTTCTTCTTCATCAAATTGTCCAGCTCCTCATTCAGCTTCTCGATCTCCGCATCCAGCTCTTCCGGCGTCTGCTTCTTCTTCCGTGCAGACACCAGAGCGTCCAGACTCACCTGCAGATCGCCGCACTTGCCGAAATCTCGAGCCGCCATGGCCTCCGCGATCGTCGTTTCCATCGCACGGATGCGTTCGTCCAGCTCCTCTGGCTCCAGCTCGTTCAAGTCTTCCTTGACATGTGTACGCGCTTCCTGGAGCACTTCAAGCTCCTTCTGGAGCTCCGCACAGCGCCCAAACTGCTTCGACAGCGCTGCAGCCTCCATCTCCACGTTCAGCTGTTTGATCTCCGCGTCAATCTCCTTGGCCGTGCGAACCTTCTTCCGTGCGTCCACGATCTTCTCGAGCTCAAGCTGCAAATCGGCGCACAACTCGAACTGCTTGCTTACTGCGGCGTCTTCAATCGCCCTCTCCATCTCGGCGATCTTGGCGTCCAGCTCCTTGGGTCCCATGTCGCCAAACGGATGCAGCAGGTCGCGCTTACGCACCAAATAGCCGCGTGCGAGCTTCTGTACCACCACGGCCTTCTCATTCTGCATACGGTACTCGTCTCGCATCCGATGATACTTGCTCATCGCCACGCGCATGCGTAGGATATACATCACACGGTACGCACTACGACGCAGACGCTGCAATCGCTTCTTGGCCACAAACTGTCGCGCTTTTGTTTGGATCTTGACAACCGCTTCAGCCCTCGCCATGTTGCGCACCCACTTCTGAATCGCACGCGCAGCAGATTTACACCGCAGCACCTCGAGTTTCCGCAGTTTAAACGCCATTGCCCGCTTCAAAAACACCTTGGTTTTGCCCAATTGCCACTCCTCCTTACCGGCTCCAAGCATCGACGAGATCTCCTCCACTAGCTCCTTGATATTCTCCGCGTCAGGAGTCAGCGACTGGTAGTCGTAGAAGAACACGTCGTGGTCTTCACGCATTGCAAAGCCAGCCTGACGGATCTGGATCGCCTCCATCATACCAGAGTACTTGAGTTGACGAGCGCAGTCCAAGTCGTTGAGCTCGCTTGGCCGCTTGAGCTCGTTCGGCTTGATGCAACGCACATAGCGAGGGTTCGCCAACGAGATCTTGTGCATCAGTTCGTGCAGCTGATACCGGAACTGCGCGCTGACCGAGACTTCGCGGATGTTGCGAGACTTGTTGCCTTGCGCGCCCTTCTTCATCTCGTTCGGGCGTCGAGAGATCGAGTGCTGCTGCTGCGGTTTGTTGCCTGGAATGGCCTCGATCGACTGCATGTTGAGGTCGAAGATGCCACGCAGCCAGTCGCTCTGGGACTGTCGAATCAGCTCCTTCATGTCGTCATTCAGCGTCTCGTTGTTCTTGTCGTTGAAGCCGCTGGCGTCGTAGATGACTTCGCCGGCGTAGTGCTTGATACCAAAGTGCAAGTCCGCGTCCATCTTCGGGTGCACGTAGAACTTGTTCTTGCCGCTCGAATGGCCGCTCGACGTGCGTCCGAACGAGTTGTGCAGGTTCGACACGAACTTCTTGTTGGCTTCTTCGCCCTTGAGTCTCCAGTTGTCGTCCAGCGAGATAAAGATGCCGGGAATGCCATTCACCTTGCTCTCAATGAGATCCAGACACTCCTGGTTGTCCTCAAAGTCGATGTGTTTCCAGTCGATCCCTTCTTTCGCGTAGTCGTTCTGCTCCACCTCGAGCATGTGCTGGTTAAAGTGTCGTTGCAGCTTCTCATTGGCATAGTTGATACACAGCTGCTCGAACGTGTTCCACTCGAACTTCTCGAAGCCGTAGATGTCCAGCACGCCGATGAAGCCCCACTTGTCCTGGGTGCGCGAGATCGTGCGGTTCAGCTCCGACACGAGCCACAGGAACAGCGACGAGTAGATGCCCTTGGCCAGGGCATCGCGTTTGTCGCGTACCTGCTCCGAGTTCTGCTGTTGCACGATCACCTTGCCTCCGACGTAGAGTTGACGCGTGAGCAGCGCCTTGGACAGCGCGTCTTCGCTCACTTTAAGCAGCGTGGCCACCAGTTTCATGCCATTAGCGGAGTTGTCTCCTACAGTCACGCACGTGTCGTTTTCCATTGCAAACTTCAAGTTGCCGAGCTGCAACACCGCTGCGAGGAGCTCAAAGACCATTTCCTGTCGGTCCTCGGTGATGCCGATCGTCTCCATGCATCTCTTGGTCGTGGCAAACTCCTTGGCGTCGTCGCAAGAGTGAATGTGGAAACATTCACTCTTCCTCAAATATTCGTAATACTGTGGCGTTTGCAACTGCAATCTTTCCCTTAGCGCGTTGTCCGCGCCGGCGAGTAATTGGTAGAAAATGTGGTAGTTTCTTTCGCCGATACTTTGGGACACAATGCGGGTCTTCTCCAGTAGGAAATTGAGGATTTGTGCACCCACAATTTTGCCGTGGTGGTTGAACTGGATCTCAATAAACTTGCCAAAGCGACTGGAGTTGTCATTGCGCAACGTTTTGGCATTGCCGAAGGACTCGAGCAGCGGATTACTCTCCAACACGCGCTCCTCGAGCTTGCCCAGAGCACCAGACATGCCTTCCAAAGGTGCAGGAGGTGCACCTTCGCCCTCGGGACCTTTTCGGTAGCTTGTGGCTCGAGCCAGGTATTGCATGATGATCTTCGTGGTCTCCGTCTTGCCTGAGCCGCTCTCTCCACTGATAATAATACTCTGATTGGCCGGATCTAGTGCACCACCCTGGATGAGCTGCGTGTACGCGTGGTCGGCCAATGCGAAGACGTGCGGGGGTAGTGCTCCCATTGCCTTCCCATAGTATTCAGTCATGTGGCGTTCACTGTACACATCTAGCTGCTTGTACGGGTTGATAGCAATGAGAATGGGCCCCACGTACGTGTAGATAAGTTCATGCTCGTAGCGTTTGCGCAGGTTCTCGAGCAGTGACTGCTCTGACAAGTCCGACATGTGCAGAATGTCCTCGAACGTGTTGCCGCTGGGCGACGTGTCTGAGTCCTGCATCTTCTTCTTCATCTTGGCGCGCAGAAGCCGCTCCTTGCGGGTGCCCCCGCCGCGTCGCTGCATGGCTTCGAGTCTGTGATGAGCGCCCACTGCGCTATCAGTTAGCCGATCTGCGTGTGGGGGCCACTCGAGACTCGACCGCACGCCGGGCTTGTTAACTAATAAAACCTCGGAAAAGGACGACTGGGAAGCCTCAGTTTAGTGACAGAATGGTGTTTTGGAAAAGAACATGGAGTGTGAAAAATGGGCTATGGCACCACGATGAGCCATTCTGGACGGAAAAGCGATAATTTGCAAGTGCACTGCTGAGATGAAGAAGAGAGGATATCTAAGAGTTGCATGGTGATCTGCAGTGGTGGTGATGGCGGTGGCGGTGCTCAGGAGTACTTTGTCTGAGTTGTTGATTTTGATAAAGGTCATTAAAGAGCGGCACAAACAACGGCAACTTTGAGGTTTATTGCTTGCCGTAATTTATTGCAATAGCTCTCCAATACGTGAATTGAAGAATAGCAATATTCGGCGAAATGAGTCCTTGCCTGGGACTTTTTACTGCGTCGCATTGGGTGAGTACCCTTTCTTTTATAAAACGAGCGTACTAGACCCTGATACGCCAAACTGATGCTATGCTACATGACTAATTTATTCAAGCCTGCTCCTCCATCGGGCATGAAACGCTGGAAACGATTTTTAAGTTAAATTGGTCCAGGAGATTTCTAAAAACAGGACAATGAGGCATTCCTTGAAGGAGCCATTTAATTTGGAGCTGCTGTGTGACGGATTCAAGCTGTAGTTACCTCTAAATAATAATACATGCCTTCCAGAAGGACGGTCCGACTGCAGAAAAACACGCAGCACACCACAACCAAGCGTATCATGGGCAGCGTAGCATGACAGGCAAATTGTATCCATCATGTCGAGACCATCAAGCGCCCTCTTGTCTCTACCGCCGACCATCAACTTAATCGAGCGACTTCAACCGCAGAATCCCAAACTGATCCCGTAAAGCCGACGATGCTGATTTGTCACCATTTTTTATTAATGATGCCACAGCAAATTCAAAGATTGAAGATCGCAAAAAAATCAGTAAAACACAAAAAACTCGGCGATGCGACAACATCACGATGGGCAACACGCATAAGCAAATTTGACGCAAAACAACGATGTCGTCTTCTTGCTTGCTGCATCGCGAACACTAAGATGGAAAAAGTGTATTCGTCTCGTGTGGCCCACCGCATGGCGTGAGTCCAGGCGTTCCTACAGGCGAGCACTTCACTCGCGTACGCTACCTTATGTCTTGTCCACTTGCTCTAGTCGACCTTGATGGACGCGTAGATCTTGCGTGTGAACCACAGCGAGGCGCCGACGCCCACAGCGCCCGTCAGCAGCGCCAGCGCGCCCGAGATGACCGCCATGTAGCCGAAGTAGAGCATAGCGCCGATGAAGTTGCCCACATCCAGACGCGTCCAGTAGTAGTACGTCGAGTACAGGAACACGTAGCCTCCGCAGGCACCCGACACGAAGAACGACCGCCACCACCTGTACACAAGCCAAAATGGTAAGATACTGCAAGGATTCAAGCCACAGAGCCAATCCAACGTACCAGTTGTAGTCTTCCGCGCAGAGCTGGAAGTAGGTGAGCACGATGGTGATCTCGGCGCACGTGTTGATAAGAATGAGGAAGGCCAGCAACAGGAAGCCGAACACGTAGTAATACTTGTCCGTCCACAGCGCTGATAGCACGAAGAAAAGCTCCACGAAGATGGCACCGAACGGCAACACACCGCCCACTGCCGCCGCCGACAAGTGCGTCATATACCACGGCTGAGGGGGAACAGGACGCGGGATGTTACTCGTCGCCACGGGGAACGCGAACGGAGCGTTTCTGCAGCAAGAAACATAACCACATTAGCAACTCGACCTTACTAATACACCCACCACACGTAGGAGCATTACCTGAAGCCAAAGTAGGCGCCCGCGAACACCAGCGGCACCGAGATGCCCGTCCAGAGGAAAAAGACCAGCAGAATCGAGCCGAACGGCACAGCAGCGTCCGAGCCAGCGCCCCACACGAACAGATTCAGGAAGAAGAAGAGCGAGAACATGATACCAGGGAACAGCACAGCCGTGAGCACCGTGCACATCTGCCAGCGTTTGCCCTTAAACATCTTGTAGGTGCGAGCCGACGTGAAGCCAGCCAGCGTACCCAGCAGCACGAAGCAGACAAGCAATGCGATCACCAGTTTGCCGCGGTTCGAAGGCGCCAGAACGCCCACAGCAGCGAAGAATAGCGTCACGAACGCCATGCCCAGTAGCTGGCAGCCTGTGCCCACCATGACACAGAACAACATGGGGTTCTTGGATGGCGGACGGAACACGTCAGCATGCACGAGCTTCCATCCCGACTCCTCCCGTTCCTCCGCACGCTCTTCCTCGGTCGGTACGCGGTTGTAGCGACTGATATCGCGATGCAGACTGCGCATGAGGATCATTCCCACCATCCCACTTAGGAACAGCACGATCACAAGAGCGTTGATGATAGAGAACCAATGGACCTCATCACCGCCCGAGCCTGCGTCAAAGTACACGTCCCATCGCGTACGCCAGTCGTGCTCGTTGTCCTGTACCCATTCGATACTGTAGGTCCAGTACACAGGCATCTTGCCGTCCTTGTTCTTGCGCACATACAGCGGGCGCTTGAGGTTGCTCGAGTGTTCGCAGGAATTCATGCGGTTGTTTGCCTCATCGTAGCCTATGGCCGCGTACTCGAAGCTGTACGGGATGACCTTGAAGTCCACAATGCGTCCCTCGTCCTCCGACGACTCGGCCGTGCCCAGCGGGTTGTTATTGTAGCCAACGAGGATCTTAACGTGGTTGTTAAGTTGCGGCACTACTTCCACCTCGGGATTAAAGCTTCCCAGAGGGAAACCCACCATCATACCGCCCTCGGAAGACACGGACGTAGCTGGGAGGTTGTCCAGGATCCAGTTGACGCGATACGAGTCCTTGATCTTGTTCTCCCACACTTTGACATCCTTCTCGTCGTACTCCTGCTTACACAGTACAGTACACTCCTGTCCCTCTAGGAACTTGATCTCGTACGGAGAGTTTTGGATGCGGTTAGCTGTCAGGTACTCGCCCAAATTCTCCGACTTGTACTCGATTTTCTCCGGCTAGGCATAGGAAGATTTTTTTTGTCAGCGCCTTGCATATGGGAAGTACATGACACTACAGATGTATTGATCTAGTTACCTGGCAAAAAGGCAACTTGTAGTAGTCCATGGGCAACAATGTCTCGGCCGATTTCAAGCTGTTGACAAAGATGGGCAACGTCTCGCCCTTGGTGTACGTCGTCATCTGCACGCCAGGCAGCGAGAATCCGTTAGTTCCCGAGGCCGCCAGAGCGGTCGCCGCCAGCGCCACTAGCAGCGACTTGCTCGGTCCACACGCGCGCATTATTTCGGTGCTCCCTCCTCGCTTCTGCTTGGCTCGCTCGCTGGAAAACTGGGCCGCCCCTTCCAGCTCTTCCTACAATATCATGTCCCTGTGAAAATCGATCGGAAATAAAGGAGTGTGTGTACTGTACCTACAACGAAACGACATCAAAAAGTGTAGCCATTTCCACCTTGGTTGTCAGGCATTTTATTAGCACTGTCTACTGTAGCCATCACTACAATTCGTCGCCTTCCCACTCATCGCTGTCAAGTTGCTCCAGTCGGCGAGTGTCGAGTTCCTCGCCTTCCCAGCCGTCTCCTTCGTACACGTCCTTGTCCAACACGTAGTCGCCAGCCAGCTCGCAGCCCGTGTGCACGGCGGTGCCTGCCTCTAGGTACTGCACTCCTTCGGGAGAAATGCCATTGATCAGCACATCGCCGACCTTTGTGGCACGAACAGGGTGCGTTGAAGCACACGAGCAGCCGTCCACATCGCAGTCGCGGATCTCGTCCTCATCCATGATCTCGTCGTTAAACAAAGCTAGTTGAAGCCGCACTTGGCCCACGATGGTGTCGTCGGCTTCGATGGGGTAACTCTTGTCCTCGAAGTTGCGACCAATCAGCATCTCTACCTTCAAGCACAGCTCTCCGATAAGCGTACTGCACACACAGAGTTAGAGACTGCAACAATTACACTAGAAATTTTGTCTCGCTTACTTCTTGACAGTGTTGTCATTCATGACTCGAATCACAAGGAAATCGTGCTCTATGCATCTCACACCAACCGTAATACCCTCAATCCAGCTCGGGTTCTTCCCTGCAGGTCCACGATAACACGTTAGCAGCGTCCACCTTGCTCTTGCAACCACCGAGTGCCATACCTCCATTGTCATGGGTTTTCGTCCTATACACGAGGTCCTTTGCAGAAGGTATGCGGCAACGACCTACGTACACCTCGCAGAACGGGTCTTGCGTGCCGAATGACTGGATATCGCGCAGCTTGCTACCCGAAATGAGACCTAAGTAGAGTTTGGTTTTCCCGGCAATGAAGTGATGCGGGTACTCGCCAAACTTGACTCGAGGCTGCGATGTCGGGTTTTCTAGCGAAGACAAAAGATCGGATAAAGGTTGTCAGAGCAAATCCACAACGAATTGGACGCACATCCACGCACCATGACCCAGTGATAGATACATCAGCACCTTCAGATAGCCCGTGGGGGTCAGCGCAAACTCTTTCTCCATGGATCGTCCACGGGACAAATCTCGCATCGCCAACGCGATCTCTCCGATCACCGTGCTGCAAACAAACCCGTCAGTACCTTGCTCCATTTTTGCATTGGCACAATGCACCACTCACTTCTTTCCCCAGTTGTTGTTCTTGATACGGAGCCGCACAATGTCCGACGAGATGTCTGGGATCAAAATGTGGCCCTTAGCGTTCCACATCGGCTGCGTTCCTGATAATTGTCAATTGACAGGGTCAGCACCATCATTCTAACCAGCACTATGGTGCATATACCAACCTCCATTGTCGTGCGTGTCCGTCTTAAACGCTGCTTTCTCCTGCTCTTTCCCTCCTGTCGTCAGGTACACACTGCAGTAGGGGTCCTGCTCGCCCAGGGTCTGCACCCTCTTGAGGTCGCGTCCCGACAGAATCGTCAGGTACAATATGGCGTCGTTACGCAATGCCGTAGGTGCTCCTGCTACACTGCTGCTGATGGACGAGCGGTGGCTTATGGACGAGCGGCTGCGGCTCATGTCGACCTTCTCGCGGTGGGTAAATAGTCGAGCGTGTGTTCGAATGTGACTTGCCTCATGCACCCAAGTATGTGACGCACACAAACCCCGTGAAAACCGGACCATACTGAAGCCAAGCTGAACCTGATTTGAGACCACTATCGCAGAGCTGTAGCCACTTGGCAAATGTACACTTGCACACCGCACTTATCAAAACTTAGGGAGGACTTGCTCCATGTTCTTCATTTGCACACACACGCCTTGACTCGAAGTGTGCGAAAGGTAGACCAGCGCAGGATGGTATGTGGCCTCATGTAAAGCGACAAGCCGATCAAGCTTACTTCAGCACCGTCTTGCGTCGAGATTACGAGCTCAATTTGAAGCGCTATTAAGTTGTGTCATCAGCGCGAATAAACAAGCAAAAGCAAATGTGGACAGGTGTAAAAAAGTTTATAAGGAAAGGCATAAATGTATTTGAGAGAAATGATGAGCGTTTCTCAAAACACACACTCAACTCGCAATGACGCTAGCACCTTTCTGCAAAGGCTGTCTAGTTCAGGAGGGCAACCACAAATGCCGACGCCACCAGGGCGATCGAGGTGGCCACCGAGGTGGCGTCGCTGGATGAAGAGCCGCTGCTTTTCTTCTTCTTGCCGGCGCCACTGGAGCTCGAGTCCACCTTACGCGTGCACTGGTCACCAGCATATCCGTCTTCGCACTCACACACGTTGCCACTACCCGAGGACGAAGCCATGCCCACAGTCTCCATCAGGAAGCGAGCAGCCGAGCCGTCCGAGCCGGCAGCGTCAACCGTGCCGGCATCAGCAATCGATCCCGTGCCCGTAGTAGAGCCAGAGGTAGTCGAAGAGCCTGCAGACGAGCTGGTAGCAGCTACGCACGTGCCGTGGCCGTTGCAAGCCTTGGACGACGAGGGATCGCAGTACGCACATTGGTCACCGGTAGTGCCCTCGTCACACTCGCACTCCTGGGTCTTGAGGTTACACGTGCCAGCCTGGCACTGAGATTCGAGCGTGCACTTGTTGGACTCGACCTTCTGGCAGTAGGTGCCGTTGTAGCCCACGTTGCACTCGCAGTAGTACTGCATGGAGCCCGACGAGTTAGGGGAGCATGTGCCTCGGCCCGAGCACACGACGTCCGAGTCATCATCGTTGTTGGGGTTCACACAGCCTTCGTTGATGACGCCCGTGTAGTTCATCTGCTCCGACAGGTCCCAGTTGTCCGAGTCTTCCTCGAACAGGAGGTTGGTGCCGTCAAAGTCGACGCAACCGTAGATCACACCCACGCTCTCAGCGGTAGAGCCTGATCCCTCAGTGATGTCCATGCACGACACGTAGCCGGAAGTGTCCGAGCCCGAGAAGGAGCCGTTCAAGCACTGGTCGGTACCTGAGGGCAGCTGGTAGGCACAGACGCTGCTAATGGACTGGAAAGCCGTCTTCCACGTCGAGAAAGACGGACACAGACCGGGGAATGTACCGGAGCACACGTCGCCCTCCTTCTGGTAGGGCAGGCACTGCTTGACGTCCTCGATGCCCGAGCGCGTGGTCTGCACACTGATGCACACGTAGTCTTTCTCACACGACTTGTCGTTCTTGCAGTAGCCGGGCTGTCCCGAGCCAGAATCGGCCTTCACAGCCGCGAGCATGGCCGCGATGGCCGCAATGTACGCCGCCGACTGCATTCTTGTCTTTCTGAGCTTGACGAGAAAGTTGAGAAGGTCTCTTTGCAAGGAAAAGAGGGAATGGCGCACACGCTGCAAAGGCGCCCGGCGGGATTCGTCGTCGAGTTGTGGTAAGGCACTTTGACTGGCGTTTTGTAAGTGGGAGGAAAATTCCGAATTTTCTTCCGAAGCGTCCTCAAACAGCTGGCGTGCGAGCTAACTTTGCGCCAATCGAAATGTGGATCAACCCACATTTCAACCAATCTTTATGGCAGAAAGGCGAATCAGAAAAAGTAACTGATCCGGTGGAGCTTTGAGTACATGTAACTGAAAGTAGAGCTCCTACGCATCTCGTTGTTCTCCCCGCTCGCCAGTATGAACAAAAGCCTTTCCTGCCCCAAAATGTGTAAGCTAATACATGTTTGAAATAATCCTTTGTACGGTATTGGAACTGACGCTTCACATGTCAGTTCATGGACTGCTTCAAGGTGTAGGTGACATGAAGGTTACTTACAATTTGTCTCGTTTCTAAAAATCGAAAATTTGAGCGAATGTTGCCACTTCAAGTGGCTGGCCAAAACTGCAATCCTGGGCCAGGGTTCCTGGCACTGCCAACTTGGCAGTGCCAAGTTTTTACCGCGCTTTCATGCCGGTGTTGGTATGGTGCGAGGTAATGTTCTAGTGCATGTCGACTCTTGTTAATTAATAACTGTCCAAGTTGGACTCCAACGCGATTTTCGAGCGACGTAAAAAGATGCTCGGGCGGCGGCTCCAAATGCTCCTTTCAATAAGCCAATTTATCCTTTGTCCAATCGAGATTCAAACGGACATCGCTCCTCACAGTAGCCCACCTAGGGTCGATCTCGCGTCGCGTAGCTGTACGCTCGTTCGCTCAATTCGCTAGCCAAGATCGGGCACAAAGTGGCAATGAATCTCGGCAAGTACTGTGGAGCACGCACGACCGATGCCGCGAAAAGCACCGACTCATCTGGTCATCGCTATGATAACACCAGATGTGCAGCATGGCAAGCAGAGCTCCTCGGTGTGTACGTGTACGTCGCAAATGAAAGAGTGTTCTTGAGTCAGTCGAGGTATCGCTACAATTGTCAACCACAGCGTGGTGGTGTCGTACTTAGTGGCCGATGTTCCTCCAGCGACCGCTTAAAGTTTGCTTGCTGAGAGCTCGTTGCTCGTGCTGCACGAATCGTGCACAGACCAGCGAGGCTGCATCTGAGGACCAAAAAGTAGGTCCGAACGAAACAATTCCCGTAAATCGGAGTAGAATTTGCGGCATAAGGTTGATCAAGAGTACTTGCCGTCTCGCTGATCTCCGCGTGAAGCGGCATGTCTTCCTGCGGCGAGCAATATCAACTTTACAACCAAGCGTATCAAATTAATCTGTCGAAACAACAGACGGTAATGCTTGCAGCTCCATCTAGTATCCAGCGTAGGGAGATTTCTGTTGGTTGATTATCTCCGCCAGCTCGGTATTCAACTAACCAGTTCACTGCGAAGAATGGAAAGAAGGTGTCGGGTATCACTTTCGACAATGGGTCGTCGCTTATGGCAAAAGGTTCGATCGCTTTTCGGTTGACCACAACGAATCGAGGCCGCGCTTGGGAAGTCCATGGGAAATGCGCTACCGAGATTTGACTATATCGGCTCAAGTTGTGGTAAAGCACGACTTCAGAGCTGCCAACGATCAGGAACATCATCAAGATATGGTGTCTTAGCTTGATTTCCTCAAAACATGTCGTGGAGAAGCAGGACTTACGCACGATATTTTTGCAGTCGATAATCGTGGGGGGCGGGGTATTACTACATGACAGATCAAAACTGTTTTTTTTTACCAATTCTTGCAGTTCAGAAATCTGATTTGCCCAGAGATTAAAAATTCTCGTTCATTTCAGGTACGGTACGGTACCGTATTTCGCATGTAGAACGATACATCCCATGTTATGAGGGATAGGCTCCCTTAAAAAATGATGTTAAAAAGCTGAAGAAACAAAATCTCTATTATTTAGACAGTCGTCTCTTCGATGAAGAAACAAAATCGTTATTTTTAGACATGATGGTGTCCTGAGCGGCGAAGTCATCACTTTCATCTACCGGTTGCCCTTCAAGTAGCGAGAGTTTCTCGTGTTGGGCCACCAACTGACTCGATGCAATGCAGCTCGCACTCGGCTCCAACTTACTTCGCTTAAACCCATTAGAAATTGTAGTAGCAGGAAGTGATTTCCACGCATACTGAAATCAGTCACATACCAGGATCGTGCTGGCTTGAATGTTGTGTCAGCAGCTCATCGACATCTGCTGGCTGCGAGACAGCGGTCGCGCTCTTCGGTACTTTCATTAGCACTACGTTGATTGCTTTTGTACGATGCGGCGGCTAGATTAGGAAAGAAGTGAGAAATGGTGGCTCGCATAGCTCCCGTCGTCTTTAACATCAAAGAACCGCGAGCTTCTTGTCAACTGATTCAGCATTGAGCTTGTATTGATGCGCGTGCCGGGGTCTTCCTTTTGGCTTGACACGAATCATTCGCTTGTTGTGAAATTTCTGAAATTTGATATTCATTTATTCATTTAAGTGTCGTGTATCACTCGGCATGCGATTTCCTGGGATCTCAGTTCTAATCAATGATTCGCTGCTGGGTGGGTGTATCGCTCTAGTAGCGGTATCGGTCTACATGCGAAATACAGTATCCGTTTTGAGAATGCAAGTAATTTTCTCCGACCAATAAAATTTTAATACAGGTGTGGCTTAGTTGGTGTGCGGAGCTTAAGCAAAAGTGAAAATGAGCGCAATTTGCGTGTGTCGGAGCCAGAATCAACTAATTAACACGCGATTGCAGCATCCATGTATCACGCAGGTATTTAAAAACTCATGTGCGCGCCACTTTAGAAAAGGAGAAGTGAGGAGCATTGCGATTTATGGGCATGATGAAGCGAGTCTCACACTCTCTCGATCCAATAATGTATCCAGGTTTTATCCACTTTTTGTTCAGGTAACGTCTAAGTAATAAAAATGTTAGCTCTTCAACACTTCATCCGGCTAGCTAGCGTCGTGGCATCCTTATAATCGCGTGCAGCATCTTTCAATGCAACTTGGTGACACCAATCGACGAGAGCATCAACCGGCGCTACACAGCTCACGCACGTCCGAAAAATTACCAAACGAAAACCCCACAGCTATGACTGTCGGTCTGGATGGGCTCTTTAACTTAGATGTCCGTGTTGTCTTTCAAAACAAAAGCTTCCTTGACAGTTTCACCCGTCATTTTCTTCAGTCGCTTTTGATTTCTCTTGCATCTTATGCTGTCGTACAGCTTAGCTTGTTCCACGACATACACGGATCGTTTCTTCCCATGACGACGAGACTTGCACGACTTCTTTGATTGCGCTTGGTCCTCCACTTCCTCAGATTCTGATTCGCTCGCAAATTTTTGATTTCTACCTCACCTTCATCGTTCTGACGGCGTCTCCCCCTGACCCGCCGATCTTTTGTTGAGCATTACCCTCATCTGCTTCTGTGGTGAAGTGCTTTCTCAGAAATAAGAGAATGGGCCTGACGCGGGGTCACTATCCCGAATCAGTTACAAATTCAAGTGATTAGAGAGGATTTGGGTTGTCGGGCACGGAGGCAAGTTGCCTGTGGTGGATTAGCCATGACGAGCAGCGCCCCGTATGAAATGACGATGGATCTGGTATGAGCGATGTACGAGAAGGCAAGATCCACCAAGACTTATCTCGGATCCACCCTTACCTGGATTCACTTAGATGGATATGGGATATACTATATAAGAGTGGATCGAGTGTGGATCCTATGAAGGAATGATGGTAGGCGTCATCTGAAGGTGGATCTAGTAACCACGGCTAACGAGAAGTCAAGATCCACCGCGAGGCGCCCCGGATCCCATACTTCCGAGTTCGGATCCAAGGAGGGAGGATCCCGCAGAGAGGGACCTGGATCCAGGACACAGGGATAATAGATGCAGTGGATCTCGAACTTTCG